TGGCCTTCGGTATCATCATCCTTTTTACTTTGTCCAAAGCAGTTTGATCCCAACCATGCCCACTCTGTCCTATGCCAGCTAAGGAGATGTGTGCCATGCACTGACACACACCAAGAATACAGGTACCAGCAGGCTCAGAATCAGAATGCTTGTGATTCCTGATCAGATTGGAGAACGGAAACAAGTCAGGTGCCAAAGGGTTCAACCCTGGGTCTGCTTCTCTTCAATGTTTTCATTAATAATTTGGATGAAGAGCAGAATGCTTATCAGATTAGCAGTTGACACAAACTGGCCTTTAGCTAATAGCCTAAAAGTCAGGAAAAAAATTCAAAATGGTCTTGAGAGATTGGAGAGATGGGTTGCAAATAATAGAACCAAAATTTAACAGTGACAAGTGCAAAGTTCTTCATTAGAAAATAAAATTCAAATACACAAGTATTGTATAGGATAGGAGATGCCTGGCTGGGTTGCAGTACTTTTAGAAAGTATCTTGGAGTAGTAGTTGATTGCAGGCTGCAAATGAGCCGGCAGGGTGATGCAGCTGCAAAGAAGGCAAATGCAGTTTTAGGCTGCAACAACAGAAGCAGAGATTCCAAATCATGGGAAGTAAAGTTCCATTTTATTTTGCTTTGGTTGAACCCCACCTCAAGTACTAGGGCCAGTTCCAGGCACCACCCTATAAGAAAGAGTCAGAGAAATTAGAACGGATTCGGGGGGGACAATGAAGATGATCAGGGACCAGAAACTCAGTTGTTTGGCTGAAGGGGATGTATATATGTAGTTCTAAGAAAAGAAGGCTACGGTGGGGGGTACGATTATGGTAACCCCCTTCAAACACCTGAGAGGAAGTTCCACAGAAGACACGCTGGCCCCCTTGATTCTCTGTTCCCACCTGCCTTTGTTCTTCCACCTCTTTTGCACATCCTCTGTGCCGGCACCCTTGGTGAACTGGTTCTTCTCCGTTGCACTTTTCCCCCCTTCTCCTCTCTCCTCCTGAACTCCGAGGGCGTTCTCAAGTTCTCTAGAGATTTCCTCATTTGCTCCCAGGCATCTTGCCGTCCCCTCCCGCTGTTGGGACTCCCTCCTTTCGTCTCGGCTCCCTGGGGAGCATCCACGCCCAGCTAAGCGGCATCTATTTTGAGCTCCCTGCGTTGGCGCGGGGGGGGGGCCTTCCACAGATGCTAAATGCCGCCGCTGCTGAGCCAGCCCCGGGGTTGGCTCGGGTTCCCAGGAAAAGAGAGTGGGGCGCTCGCCCCCACCCACTGCCTCGCCCAGCACCACCGCCTTTTGCGTCCTGCAGGCCAGGGATGCACCATATGTCTCTTCTTCCGCGAGTGGGTGCGTGTGGTGGGGGAGGGGGACTTCTCAGGAAGTGGGCGATCCGCACTTGAGACTTTGGTGGGGTCCTGAGGCTGCTGTTTGCGTGAACCCCGGGGGAGCCTGCCAGCAAACCCCAGCTGGGGCATGCGCTCAGATGAAGGGGCCGCAGTAGCAGATGGGAGCAAAAGCAGCGGCTGGGAAGAGACTCCCAATTCCAGGCAGTGCTGGGGGGGTTCAGGTGCAGAGCGGTTCATGGTGGCCCCGAGTTTCAAGCGGCCCTGGAGAGTTTCCTATTGTTTGAACGTTGAGGGGAGGGCACGGGAGAGAGCCAGGCAGCCGGTTCTGGGCCAGGGGCTCAGCAGTTCGGGGGGTGCCCCTTCCCCCCGGAAACGCCTGCCTTTCCTCATTCTGTGACGTCAACAGCAGCTCTGTGGAATATCAACATGGCGCTTCCTCACCCCGTGCTGCACCTGCCAGTTTCTGAGCTCCACTGAACTCCTGTCATCGGTAGCTCAGGGTCCCCCGCCTCCTCCGAGGCACACGCCGGTCTGGAGCACCGAACCTGAGAATGTCCTTGGAGTCCCGAGAGCAACTTCCATATGGAAGGCTTTGCAGGCCCTCCGAAAACGCCGGTGACAGCTGCCACATTATGCAGGACGTGAACCGCTAATCAGCAATGTGCTGAAGGTGTATTCGCAAGATCTGTGACACGCCATGTCTGCAGCACAGATGCCCCGTCTGCACAACCTGTTCTCTCGGTGTCCCTTTAGGGATGGAACCCGGGAGGCTTCTGCTTGCCGATCCCTCCACCCCCCGGCTGCCGGAAGGGCTTCCTGTTGCCCCGAGGCCCTGCCCCCGAGAGGAGGGCACTCTGCAGGGAACCAGCCCCGGGGGCCCTCGCTGAGAAGAGGATAGCTCTGCCTTGCTTGGCAAGGGGCACAGGCCTCCCAGAGGGCAGAGGTGCCAAGAGACTGCCCCCTCTGCTGCAGTGGCTGCTGCTGGGTGCTGGACAGGAGGCTGAGGGAAGGGGTGCCTCCTCCCTTCCAGGGCCTTTCCAAAGCCTTCTGAGTACTCCAGGGAAACTCAAGCCAACACCGCCTGTTCCCCTTTCCACACCGAGTCCCTAATGCGGCCTTTTCCACCAGTTGCAGAGTCTGCAGCGTGTGGGCCAAGTGGCGCTGGCCACACCCGGCAGTCAGAAGGCTGGCCTTGATCCTGGAAGGCCTCACGCCCAGGCCTGCTGCTGGCCCCGGGAGTGGAGGACTTCTCGCCTCCCCACGGTGCAACCAGCTGGCCGGCCCTGCCGGCCCCCTGCTTTACAGAGAGCAGCCAAGGCGGGCCGTTTCCCACAGGCACCAGACCCAGGAATTGAGGCTTCTGGGGTTAATGATTTGTACTCTGTAGTTTCTGGCATTTGCTGGTAGCTCGAGAGGCATAAGCCCAGGAGCTCTCGTGCTGCGAGGAAGAGGCAGCCTTGTTCCCGGAGCAGACTGTCCGCGGAAGATTGATCTCCCTAGGATGTCTGCAGCCCGGGCCCCTGCCGGAGCTTCTGGCCCTAAAATAGCGCTTGTCTTTTAAAATGAAACACGCTCACCCTGAAGTGAGTTTGTTTTCTGCACCAATTGGACACTTGTGGACTGCTTAAAGGTAGCTCCTGGAGAGAATATTTGGAATTGCGCCTCCCAAGAGAAGTTTAGCCTCCCTCAAATGGCCACCCCTGCTTCTGGGCCCGCCCAGAGATGCCAGGGTGCCTGACCGAGGGGCCCAGTTTGATTTTCCGCATAATTCTTATTTCGCTCTGGCGGAGCTCCCAACATCACTGCAATTATTGACATCCAGTAACACCGTTCTAACCCCTGTCATGTGCTTTGGGCTGCGGTGAAAACAGCCATGGCCCCATCACTCTGGGAAAGGGAGCATCAAGTCTTAAGAGTCAGGTCCAGCCTTTTGCCCTGAACCTTCCCACTGCCACGCGTGGCAAATTCTGGGAAGGAAGCTGCCGTTTCGTTCTCCTTGGCCCCTCTAAAGGTGCTCCTGCCTCTTGGCAGAGGGACCAGCGAGGCCGCTCTCAGCGCGGTCTGCCTCCCTACATGTCCCCGCGCTCGCACAGCGGTTTGATTGTGCCAGATAAATTCCTGCTTGGCGTGCTGCTGCCTTGCAGCCACCAAGCCCAACAGCCGATAAAAGTTGACCAGCTCCTAGCAGGGAAAGCAAGGGAAGTTGGGGGGCAGAAGTCCGGAGGGGAGGCGCTGCTGGCCCGGCTCCATGCGCAAGATCAGGGCGGTGCCGCAGGCAGCGGTCCTGGCTTACTGTGATTTCGAGAGCAGAGCTCTAAAGGCCAGGGGTGAGCCTCCCGCTCGGCTAATTGTGAGTCATTTAGCCTGAACTTTGCAAGTGCTGAGATCTGAGTCCCAATTAAGACATTGCACTTCATGTGATAATTAAGGCTTTTTCTTTAAATCAGGCCATAACTCCTCTTAATTAGGAGACTGCAGCCATTGTAATTTGAACTGGTCTGAGTTTAAAACACCCATGGTGGAAGTCACACCTGGGAGCCTCACCAGCCAACGCTCTAAATTGGTTCTGCTCCCCGTAGAAATGAGGAGGAGCCCAGCAGGGCTATAATTAGGAGGTCGAAATCCCAAAAGGAAACAGAGGGTGGCCCGGGGAAGAGGGGCAGTGGTCCACCCAGCCCGGAGGGGCAAGGCTTAGTCAACTCTGGCTCCGATGGGCTGCCGCGTTCTTGTGGCGAAGGTGCTGGGTGCGGTTCAAAGGCACACCCGACATCTTCGCCAGATAGGGGAGCAGAGGGGATGTGCTCCTTGCGAGCCTCAAGGCCTAGTTGCACAAGGGGGGGATGCGCATTGGCGGGAGGCGACCACCTGTGTTCCTCTGCCCCACCTCCGTGGCTCCGGTCAGTCCGGCCCCTTACGCACTGCTGCCTCCTGTTTTGCTCGTTTTCCTCTTCGCAGAGGGCAGTGCTTCAGTGCATTGCCCAACTGGGGATATGATGAACCTGTTGCAAAAGATCTCAGGGATGAGGAGCTAAGGTGCAAGGCAGGTAAACAAGATGTTTGCCCGGGAAGGGAGGGGCCTGGGAGGGACAGGAGAACTGCAGGAGAACCCGAAAGACAGTCTTCCCCACCGGCCAGCGCCTTGTGTCCTCAGGGGGCAGCGGATTATGCTCACCGTGGCCCTCGCACTCTAGGACCAGAGAGGGCAATTGTCAAAGGTCCTCCAGAGCCACGACAGAGGGTCGCCGAGTGCCTTTGCTGCCTTGAACTGGAGCTCAAAGTGGCAGCCATTGCCACATCTTTGGTAATGATTCCCTTGTGAAGCTCTGCTGGGTGCAAAGAAACTCCTCTTTTATCTGTCCTGAATCTCATTCAGCTTCCTGGGGTGCCCCTGTTGGGTTCTTGAGGACGAGAGAAACAGGCAGGCGTGGACATGGAGATCAGGGCGCTCCAGGCGAGGGTGGGTGACTAAGGGCAAGACGAAAGGCCGGGAAAGGTGGTTTACCTTCTGCCCATCCTAGATTTGTGCTGAGCCTTCTGACTCTCCTCCACCACAGACCCCCTTTGAGGGCCAGTCGCTGGATCCTCTTTCCAAAGAGGGTGGCTAGGGGTGCGAGCGGGCAGCGAAGGGTCTGTCTGATGATGACTTCCATCTCTCTCTTGCAGAACGGCTTTTCTGCGGTCCCGACCTCGGATGCTTCTTCCCGTCCAAAGCCTTGTGTGCCTTGCGGCCTTCGGCCTCGCCCTTCCCTTGGCCATCAGCCTCTTCCCGCAGATGTCTGAGGTCAGTGACACAGCCGGGCCCATTTCCCCTGGGACGGCAAGGGGGGAACTGCCAGAGAGCGCCAGAGTAGGCGACTTGTGGAAGGGGAGCAGGGGCACGCTGAGTCAAAGAAGAGGCACGCTCTGGATGGAGCCCAGCCTGCTCCAGAGCCCAAGTTTAGAGCGTCCGATGGGCTCATGGCCCCTGCTGCTCCCGCTGCCGCTCCTGAGAGCACAACAGGCCTACTTCCTCCA